GAACCAACCCGTTATCTTAACAGGTACTTATTGAGTTACCCGATAACACCCGATTCATTATTGTGTCGACCTGAACACCTGTTAATTTCGTGTCGTGTCGTGTCGGGTTATCGGATCGTGTTAAGAATTGCTAGGCCTAGTGGCCTAGTGTATAGACAATAATTGCACGAGATGGTGCTTCAAAATAATTTGAGCGATTTTATTTTAGTTTTAATATATGAGAATGATTTGTTTTGTTATAGAATGTTGATTTTTTTTTTAAATTTGGATTTTATTAATGTACTTGGATTATTGAGACATATTATATTTCATAAATGAATAATTGTGATCTTTAGTTATTAAACGTGTATGTGTTTGGGCCCAAAATAACACTTTGGACCGAAAATGGGCTAACATGAACTGAAAAGCTACAATTCTTAGCCCAGTAAAAATCCCTCATGCCACAGAGCTTTTAGCCCAAGAAATGGTTGATTGGATCGAGTCTTTATGAAAATAGGACTGTGTGGCGATTAAGATCAGATATGACTCGGTTGAGTTCTAGGCAAGTTGAAATTGCTAAGGATCAAGATACAACCTTGATTAAACTCGAATCCTAATTTAGAACCCAGTTAAACCAAAGAAGCCGAGACTAGATGAAGATGAGCTTCGGCTAAGGAAGGGAAAAATAAAGAATATTCAAGACCTATTCAGTAGACTTGTTTATCCTAAAGGGGCCTCTTCAACTTAACAAACAAACTCTACATAAAAACTTCGCTCTACGCGAAACCTTCTCACAACCCAAAGGAAAATACTAATTATCCTAACTCCTCTGTCGGCACATATTCATTTAGTTGAAATATCACTAGGTTGACAACCGACAACATGTTTAGTTCGTTGGAACATCACCTGGAACGTAGAACTAATTGCTTTGAAAGTACCTTCACCTTGGTGGAACAACACTACTTCTAGTTTAGTTGGTTATCTATCCAAGTCTCAGCTAGCGAAGAATCTTTGATTTCATCTTGAAAGAGGTCACTTTATTAGCTTCCCAGCAACGTGAAGTGTCTTATGATTTGTTACTCTTGGGTGCATTTTGCAGTTCGACATTCAGATGGTCAAACCATGTTCACCATTAAATGCTTATGTCCTTTGAGTATCTTTGTCCCTAAAACCTGATATCGATTCGACACACTTATATTCTCACTAATATAAATAAGGCAGCCAAACTTGGTGAGGAGATTTTGTACTAAGTGGTGAACTAGGCAACCTTATCTTCAGGTTCTAGAACCCTAGGCCGAGAGGTGTTCCCCTCAGTCGTAGTCACTTAAGTGCAGAAGTTAGCAGTGCATTCGACACACCCCCAAATCTATTATACTCGCCCGACCCAACTATGTTGTGAGTTGGCACACTTGCATTCACAAATATGACGTAGTTAACTCATAGTTACTCGGTCTGTGCAATATTAGTGTATAAGTATATTTTTATAAAGTTTGAATCAAACTAGGTTTTTAACTATAATAGTGTTGTGCCACTTAGTAGTACCATGTAGGTGGTTTTTCTTTTCACTTGTAATTGAAAAGGCCTTAGGTTCGATTCTCGTCAAATACGAATTTAAACCATATTATTGTTAACTAATTGGAAGGCTAAAGTTATCCCTTCTCTTCCCTTGGTACAAATAATATAGTAGTTGAAAAAAAAAAAAAAAAAACTATAATATTGTTGTGAAGGGTTTTTTGTGAATGTACCGTCTCTAAATTAGTATTTGAATACAAGCAAGTGCCGTTTTTCAAACGCTCTTCCATGGGTTCCTTCCCCGACGCATGACTTCACAGCAGAGCCATAAGCCACACGCCGACTCCATTGCTGCAACACCCAAACCAACATTCAAAACTATGCAAGGTGCGCAAAATACGACGGCGTTTCGATCAATCTTCGACGCCGGAGAGCTGAATTCGGAACTGGAAAAGTCCGGGGTCAAGCCCAGCTTCATCCCCAACTTATGGAAGCAGGTGATCCAAAACCCTGATGCCCAATTCGACCAAATTCCATCTCTGCCCTCGGCAGCGTATCCTCTCCTAACCTCCAAATTCAAAACCCTAACCTCCTCTGTCCACAAGGTCATGGACTCCTCAGACCAACTCACCACCAAGCTCCTCATAAAACTGCAGGTTTGCCCCATTTCTTATGTTGCACACAAACTGTTCGATAAAATGCCTCTGTGAAAAAACTCTCGTGTTATTTTATTTTTTTGTTAGAATGGGGCTCTTGTGGAAGCTGTGATTATGCGATACGACAGCCGCTTGGGGAGGTATGATGGGAAGCCCCGCCCTGGTGGTCCTAGGTCCACCTTGTGTGTATCATCTCAGGTATCAAGTTTTGAAATTTTTTGTTTTCGTGTTGAAATTGCGGGAATTGAATGTTTATGTTGATGTTTGTAGGTTGGTTGCAAAATGGGTTGTACTTTCTGTGCTACTGGGAGTATGGGGTTTAAGAGCAATCTGACCTCGGGGGAGATTGTGGAGCAGTTGGTTCATGCTTCTCGCATTGCGCCTATACGCAATGTTGTGTTCATGGTAATTGCTTTTCCTTACTGTCTTAGGGGTTTTATTAAGTGACATGGATATGGAGGAATGGAGGAACCATTGAACTTTTGACATTTGATGTTGTGTATTCTTGTCAGGGAATGGGGGAACCTTTGAATAATTATGGTTCCTTGGTGGAAGCGGTTCATGTCATGACTGGATCACCATTTCACTTGTCACCTAAGAAAATTACTGTATCGACGGTAGGCATTGGAAACAACCATTATGTCTAAGATCTTTTTCTCTGCCAAAATACTATTGCTTTCGGCATTAAGATATGATGGATCTTAATAACTTTCTCATACTGTTCTATATGATTCCATAATCAAATTTTTGTAGTCTTTATTTTTAGATTTGGTGGATCTTAGTAAATTGGGTAGCACGTAGTACCCTTTTACTTCTTTTGTTGAATGGGGGTGAATCATAGTTGCATTAGTAATGATGTAGTTTGCAAGTGCTAGAAACATTGGGCTTACTCATCCATTAGTTGTGCATCAAATCTTCTGTAGGTTGGTATTATTCATGCTATCAAAAAGCTTCATAGTGATCTTCCAGGTCTGAATTTAGCAGTTTCACTGCATGCACCAGTCCAAGAAATCCGTTGTCAGATAATGCCTGCAGCTCGGGCTTTTCCTTTAGTAAAGCTTATGGATGCACTGCAAGAATATCAAAAGAACACGTAAAGTTTCATTACACCTGTTGCGTTTTAGTAAATTCTGTTAGCTTTCATTTCTGTGCGAATGAAACTTTTACTGTCGTTTTACACTCCCCAAAAATCTCACTATTGTTTTTTAAACTGATTCTTCAGTCAGCAGAAAATCTTCATTGAGTACATAATGCTTGATGGAGTGAATGATGAAGAGCACCATGCACACCAACTCGGAAAATTGCTAGAGACATTTCAAGTGGTGAGTTCTTATCTATGAACTTGCAGCATATGAGGAACTTCAGTCCCTTTTGTGTGCCTCTGCGTATCATATATATATCCAAAGTAACCTTTGCATTTGTTGTTTCCTGTCGTATAGGTAATTAATTTAATACCTTTTAATCCAATCGGTATTCTGAGTAAATTCACAACCAGTAACGAAAACAAAGTAACAAGATTCCAGAAAATTCTACGAGGCACTTATGGTATCCGAACGACAGTACGTAAGGAAATGGGTCAGGATATAAGTGGAGCATGTGGTCAGTTGGTAGTGAACTTACCCAACAAGAGGTCAACTGAGAACACTCTAACTGATATAGAAGATCTTCAGGTCAGATAGATCGCTTATTGCTTCCGGTGGTGTTAATGCCTGAAAGTCCGTTAATGCCGGTCAAAGTAGCCAACGGTCTCCAGACCATAATTAGTGTTGCTATAATCTTGATAATTTTGTAACTCATTCAGTTCTTTTTGGGGTTGCAATAGCAAAATTTCTGTTGTAATTTTTATCGTATCAGCTTGAGATCTTCACTTGATACACCTAAAACTGTTTTTTCTCCCTTTTCTTTTTGTTTAATTTGTATGTCATAAAATATAAACCCTTTCATTTATCCAAATGTTTATTGAGAAATTCCCGGCTGGTGCATTTTTTTCGTTTTTTATCATCCCGAATTTTTGCCTCTTAATACTACAGTCTAGTGATATTTATTTTCATTTATAAGTGAGAGGTCTTAGGTTCGATTCTCGTCAAAAGCAAATTTGAACTGCACTACTGCTAGCTCATTGTGAGGTTAAGTCCACTCTCTCTCCCTTAGTATAAATACATCGTTTGTTCAAAAAAAAAAAGAAAAAGAAAAAGAAAACAGAACTAGAGGGATGCTGAACTTAGAGCAAGCCATAAATAAAGTACAATTAATATTGCTGTCGTAGGATTACATTCTAAAAGATTGTAACCCATTCTATTGGTGTGTGTTTCTCCATTATTATTTTGACTTATTTGTTTATACGCTAACAACTCTATGACGATAATCTCACTTTACCCTATGCGCCTTCATTTCATGTTTCATGTTACTTCATTCCGTCATTTGGTTAGAAAATCATTAACTTAGTTGATGTAGAAAATGAGATTTTCATCAAAGCACAAGGGGATATAAACGAAAGTGAAATGATTTCACACCGCATTTCTCTTCTCACACAGCCACGTTTATTTTAACCTTTTCATTAAGTAAAGCAAAAGAGAATCAATATACGAAAAAAAAAACAAAGGTGTGTAGCAGAAAGAAACAACGTACATAAATCATTTTCCGAACAAAAAAGCCTTTATTTTTTTATAACATCTGGATGGTTTCATATACACGCGTACCACCCTTGCAACTCACAACTGAACCCAAAAGGATCAGCTGGAAGCTGATCATTCTCCCTAAACTAACACGTGAGGAGCATCTTGACTACTTCAGAATCTTACACTAATTTTCAACCACTGCAGCCTCACATACTCTCACCTGCACCTTCATTTAATAGACCAGTTCAAAATTTTCAATTTAATTGAAAAGCGAAAAAAAAAAAAAACGGGCCTTTATAAAAAACCAAATAGAGCATTGCTCAATTTGCTATCTTGTTTCGGAGTCTCAAAACTTTCAAACAGAACGAAAAATGCAAGCAGCAGCAAATCCTAGAAACCTTCTGTTTGCCCTCTTGCTCACCATGCTCATTTCTTCTCGCTTGGTTCACTCCGGGCACTTCACCAGCTCTCCATCACTGTCTCCATCACCTTCGCCAGTGAGTACTTCATCCGACACTCTTCTCTAATCAAATGATTCACTCTTACTTTTCTGTTTATCGTTTTAGTTTTCTGAATTTTGCGTTAGGCTGTAGGAAATCCAACGGCAAATGATCATGAACCATCTAAAGGGAAAGGGACTGTTAACAAGTTAAGGAGAGGGTCATTTCCGGCTACTTGTCGTTCAAAATGTGACGAGTGCGAGCCTTGCATGCCAGTTCAAGTATCTGTCCGAGCAATGTCATTGGAAGAGAACGAGTACTATCCACAGGTTTGGAAATGTGCCTGCGGTGATAGCATATTTTCCCCTTAAGGATGGCTAGATTAATTTAACACTACTGCTGTACGTAATAAGGCCTAGTTACTAGAAGTTTTCTCTAGATTAATACAAGTTAAGATTCATGCAGTGCACCTTATGTGCAGAAGAATTCTTGCACACAACAGAGGTAATGAAACGTTTCTCACACAGCGGAGAAATGTGTTATAAGAAATTTTCACCGTATATGCATGCTATGCTACCATTGTTCTCCAGTTTTTTGTGTAATGGGATTGAGACAGATGAAATATCCAAATGGTTATTGAATATATTTGAAGGCTCAAAGTGAAGGTTACAAATCAGGAAATCCTGATTTGGAGGCTAAACGTCGATGGCTGTCCACGTCTTTTCTTGTCTTAAACTTACAATCGAGGGTAGTTTCGGCTGTAGGTGTTGATTGAACACATTGTTTGGTGCTCGACACATGAACTTTCTACCATTACACAAATAACTTGACCAAATTTTGAAGGGCATTTTGGTTAAAGAAGTAAACACCTTAAGGTCATTTCTTCAATTTTCCAAGAGTACGTTTTCACAGCTACTCAAAATCTCTCCAATCGGGAACTAAATCATCGCAAACCAAGGGGAAAAGATAGGAAGTTGCGGAAGACAATGAAAGAGGGATGGTAGAGAACCAAATCGATGCGAAGAAGAAGATCAAACTGCTTAACTAAGAAGATAATGAAATCTACTGCTACTCTCGGAATCTTACTAACCCGAAGATTTCTTGGACATATATATTCAATAATCTAAAAATTGCTTAATCTGTAATACAAATAGCTCACTTGATTCCATAGTATTCTGTTTTAACATGTATCACAAACAAGAAATTCACAGATAACTTATTCGACGTAATTGATACAGAATCAACATCGAATGTAGGCTCCTCATGTTACATGCAACAACAATAACAATTTATGGATGATAAGATTTTAAGAGTTAATATCATATGATCAAGGGAAAAAAAATTTGAAATCCAATGCAATGCAATCACCTGCATTATTGCTTGACATTCTCCAAGTACCAGCTATAAGTATCAACAAGCCCGTCTTTCAGCGAGATCTTCGGTGTCCACCCCAACCCTGCAAGCTTTGAGCTATCCATGAGCTTCCTCGGAGTTCCATCGGGCTTGGTAGAGTCCCAAACAAGTCGGCCCTCGAACCCAACAACCTCCTTGACAAGCTCAGCCAACTCCTTAATTGTCACTTCCTTGCCACTCCCCACATTGACATGCTCCAACCCACTATAACTGTCCATCATGAACACCACTCCATCTGCCAAATCGTCCACGTGCAAAAACTCTCTCAGGGGGCTTCCAGTCCCCCACACCACCACCTCCTCCGCCCCTTTCACCTTTGCCTCGTGAAACCGCCTCATCAATGCCGGCAACACGTGCGAATTTTCAGGGTGAAAGTTGTCATGCGGCCCATACAAATTGGTGGGCATCCCAGAAATTGCATCCCAACTGTACTGAATCCGATACGCCTGGCACATCTTGATCCCGGCGATCTTGGCGATGGCGTACCACTCGTTGGTAGGCTCCAGTGGTCCCGTCAGCAATGCGTTCTCCGGGATGGGTTGAGGAGCGAATTTGGGGTAAATGCAGGAGGAGCCAAGGAACAAGAGCTTCTTGACTCCAAATCGGTAGGCGGCGTCTATGACATTGGTCTGGATCTGGAGATTGACGGCGATGAAATCCGCCGGGTACGTGTTGTTGGCGTGAATGCCACCGACTTTAGCGGCGGCGAGGATCAAGAATTGGGGTTTCTCGGCGGCGAAAAAGGACTCGACGTCGGCCTGGCGAGTGAGGTCGAGCTCGGCGTGGGTGCGGAGGACGAGGCTGGTGAAGCCTAGGGCATGGAGCTTGCGGACGATGGCGGAGCCGACGAGGCCGCGGTGGCCGGCTACGAAAACCTTCGCCGATTTGTCAGAGAGGAAGGAAGGCGAAGTGGCATCTGTAGAGAGAGAGAGACAGTAAAATTAGTGTGAGGATCTGAGAAATTAACTGTGTCATGTTTGTTTGGTTGCCGAGAAAGTGTAGGTTAGATTAGTTTTTTTTCTCAGAAACCAAACAGATTGCAGAGAGAGAGAGAGAGGGAGAGAGAGAGAGAGTACTGTTCTTGGCGCCACTCATGTTGTATTTGCTTGAGTAGTGCATTAAGATCTGGTAACTCTTCTCAAATTTTTATTTAATTTGTAATTTTTAAACAGGGTGTGTTATGTTTAATTGGCTGTGAGATATGTGTAAAAGACAACAAAATTTATGTTGCATGTAATTACTAAATTGTCCATATATTTTTATTTTTGTTTAGTTTCGATAAAAGGGTTAGAATAGTAATTTTATAGAGTTTTGGTTGTTAAACAAAATTCTATTAATAGGTAGTTTAGATATTAGTTTTCCTCACAAATGATTCTTGAAATTGATCCACGCTATTAAGATGTTAGTGAAATTGAATATCGATCAATATTGTTCCTGAAAATTGGTGTCGTAAATCAATATGGTATTTTCGTCACAATTTTATCAAAAAGTCTGTTAAGTGTTGATTTGACATATTACTAAGTTCCACAAATCTAATTAAATATTGTCATGTAGATTACAAACATTCAAATAATAAAAATTCAATTTATATTTTTGGGTATGGGATTTCGATTTTGTTCCATGTGGATTTTTTCTATGGTTTTGTTCTTGGTTTCATTGGGAATTGATCTTCAGTTGTGTGGTGCTTTTGTGTGCAGGTTTGGAAGTTGCATGTGTTAAAGGTGAGTGTTTTTGCGTTCTCCCTTTGGGGGTTTTTCAGTGGTAGATTTTTTATTTTTGTGTGTTGTAAGTCTTCATTCAGCACTATAAGATATGATCGATAATAACTTTTTTTTATGAAATCCCAATTGAATCTAAAGTGAGAAGCTTTACACACACGTTGACACGCTCTGATCCCGATATCCCTAAATACCAGGATAGGCACGTGTTGGCTGACACACGAGGGTGACGAAGCCATTTAAAACATGCATACAAATAAAGAATATGCAATTAGAATGAAATATGTCATTGCAGGAACGTGTTCAGAGCATACAACTAGTAGGAATAAAATGGAAGAATTACTAAGAAAATATACAAACAAGGAAATGATACCTATACTAAGAAGACTCGAGAATACCTATGTCGTAGAATCCTAACGCCGGGATCGTGTGTCTCGATTATAACTCCTGAGGGAGTGCAAAAACAGAAAATGTGAGTGGACCAGAGGTTATAATAATTCTAATAATAAGAAAACCATTTTAGTTATTAACATACTAACCCCCTATTTTGAAAACATATATAATACTACATAATACTTTTCCTAAAAACTCTACATGCCATGCAAAGCATTCTTAAAAACATGCATGTGTAAATAGTGCTCAGTGATGGATGTATTGCCGCCCGTAGGCAAATCCGTAAAACATATGTAAAGTCGCTCGGTGGCAGTACTTGTCCATCATTGGAAGGTGAAGTTGTATAACCTATCCATCACCCGAGGGTGAAGCTGTATAGCCTGTTCATCACCTAAATGTGAAGCTGAATAACCTATCCATCACCCGATGGTGAAGCTGTATAACTTGTCCATCACCCAAAGGTGAAGCTAAATAACATGTCCATCACTCGAAGGTGAAATTGAAAAAAATAGCATACATACACACCAACACTAGCGGTGGTTAGTGAAGCTGTCTGACACTGCTTTCGGCAGTGAAGTTGGGGGTATATCATAAATATCTCACTACTCCTCCATTGTGTCCTATGGCCATAGACGTTATACTCGTGGTGTGTGTATGTGTCGTATGATAACCCACTAGATAAGCTCTGAAAACATTTCTCAAAACCTCAAATCTCATTTCGTAAACCATAATAAGTCATATTCGTAAACCAATTAAATCACCATCGTAAATTCATATAATTTAATAAGTGAAAATCCAATATTTCATAACCTTTAGTAAAATATAATTTTGATAAGTCATAAATATCTCGTAAACCACAAATATAGAAATCCGAAAAACATAATATAAAACATATTCGATGCATGAAATATGAAATGCATGCAACCTAATCTTTTATAAAAACATGCAAGTTTAGAAGGGGTCCACTCACTGGTACTCCATTGCCCGAGAGCCGCTCGAACTAGTGAGGATAGTGCCACTTCTCGCCGATACACCTAACCACATATAGGGGTCATTTAGTAAAACTTTATTGAAACATCATAATTTGGGAAAACTGATAGCGGATTTGGAATCAGGACGTCGAAATTAGCCTAGGAGGGGTGTAACAACCCGTCCTGATTTTTATTTACGGATTTTGGAACGAGGTCATTTTGGAAATTTCACGGGTGAAAGATATTTTGGGTTGTTACTTTTGGGCCTTAAATGGTGATCGAGGTGGGGCCCACCTTTCTTTTTTGTCCCCGACCCTCCCTTCTTCTTTGTCTGCCACTTGGCACCCCGACCTCATTTTTCCCCTTTCTCTCATTCTCCCCGAGCTCTCTTACTATCTCTTTCTCAAACCTCTCTCCCTTTCGCATACCTCTTTCTCTCTCTCACTTTTCTTTTCTTCCCCAAGGACCAACACATACACCCACCCACTCCTCACGACGGCACCACCACCACCACCATGATGGCCCTCTCTCTCTTTCTCATCTGTGAAGCACAGAGAACCTAATGATTTCCTCTGGCAATGGACTACAACTCCACTTGGATTTCTCGACCACTTCATGGCCATGATTAGGCCTAGAAATGGTATTTTTCACTTCCCCTCACTTGTAGCTTCATTTCCTTGGTTTAATCGTTGAGTATGGTTGAGAATTCGAGTCAATCAGAGCTTAAGAAGCTCCGACCTTCTCCCTTGTCGAAACTAGGTCACTCGAAAACCTAGTTATTACTCAGCCCAAATCATTGGGCCAAGCTACCAGGCCCAACCCAAATGAACCCAGCCCAGTTGTTAAGCCCAAACCCAATATAACCCAGGTATTTAGGCCGTGCAAACCCAAGCCTTCGACCCATTGAACCCTCGGCC